CAAGCATAGGATTAGGTGACCTTTAAGAGTTAAGAGCATGTAAAAGACTCACTCCAGCTCACAAAGACATCTATAGTTGTTTGGGACTAGGTACCTTGCTGTGCTTGGTGCAAAGCATACAATGCATAGTGAATGCTTTTTTACGTTTATGTATGCTACTTCATTTGCAAGAAACTATTGAATGGAGTATTTTGCAATATTCACAGAAGTGATAATCTACTAGATAGAATGTCAATATAGAAGGCATGTGTGGAAACTTCATTGCAAAGGTGGCTACTTGTATCTGCACTTCTCTGTGTCAAATCATTCACTCAAAAATGAAACAAAAATTCACTAGACCTCCATTCATGTAGGCATTATTGTTTAAGACATGAGAGTTGTAATAAGCAAAAAGGTATTAAATCTCTACTGATAAAAACCAAAAAAGTATATTAAATTATATGAGAGAAGTTGGTAAGTACCATACAGTAAAATAAAGACAGGAATGAAGGTAGGGAGGTCAGAGAAGACTTAATTAAGAAAATAATATTGGAAAGACTAGAACTTGAGTGGAGTGAAGTCAACTAGAAAGGATGCCCCAGGCTGAGGGAATGCCAAGTGCAAAGGCTTGAGATAGAACACTGTGTGGTGTTTTGAGAAATAACAGTAACAAGGTGTGGTGGCTACCACGCCTACTACAGGCTGAGCAAACAGAACATTTATAAGGACGAGGATGGAAAAGTAAAGAAAAACCATACATTTGCTGACAGTTGGCTGACATGGACCAGAAATGATTTAAAATAATAGAACTCAACAGTACCCATATCCAAGTTAGTTTACTATGATCAGTTTTCAGAATTTTTTTAAATGTATTTGGTACAGGGTCTCATTATGCAGATTGGACTCATAGGGATCCTCCTGTTTTCAGCCTCTCCAGCACAGTGATTGCAGGTATGTGCCACCACACCTGGTAATCATGGCCTTCTTACCATGCCCAGGGGTGGGGCCAGTATGACACCTGGTGCCAGCGATCGAACTTTAGTCCCTGTGCTTTCCTAAGTAGGTGCTTCATCCACTGAGCTATCTCACCAGCCCTTCATGATATTTTTGATTAATTAGCTAATGGTAACTAGATGTAGGGGATCAACTATTTGCAAAAACATTCCCTAACCAAGAAAATTTGATGGAGTATGTTTGAATTGCTAGCAACAGAGATAAGCAGGGAAAATCCAATGTGTAAATGAAAGATTTGATTAGGCCATGCTAGGTAGCCTTTGATGTATTTCTTAACCACAGAACTGAGCAATTTTGTTGCAAGTGTATCTCAATTAACTGTCTTAATTTTGTTGTAAGAGTGTCTTAGTTAATAAGAATGCAACTCAAATTGCCTTAGCTGACAAAGGAGATGTAGGCCATTCATAATCTAAAGAGTTCAGAATTAGCATATCTTCAAGATTTATTTGATTCATCAACTTAACAAGGCCAAGGATCCACATTTATATGTCTGTATTCTAACTTCCATGCTGATAGCTTTATCCTGAGGGTCTACAGTGTCTTACAACACAGATCAGACTCATAGTGATCCTTCTGTTTTCAACCTCCCAAGTGCTGGGATTATAGCCCTGAACCACCCGCCCAGTTTCATTCTTCATCTCAGTGCACCCCAGGGGCAGGGCCAACAACGGCACACCAGGGATCAAACCCTGATCTCTGCGCCTTCCTGAGCAGGTGCTTTAGTCCATCAGCTGAGCTATCTGGCCGGCCCCAAAAAGATTATTTTTAGAAGTTCTCCCCTTTCAGCAGAATGAGGTACTTCCAGAATTATTCACCAAAGATTTTCCTTTGTCTCATTGACCAAAACTGGGTCACAAACATATTTTGATGGATGTGGCAAATGCCAAGCACAGATGACTGCATGCCCAAGCAAGTAACTGTAGATGTTATGGCACAGGACTGAGTTACAGTGATTCATTCATTCAATCAATCAATCAAACAACTAATACTTATTTAGTAGCAAATATGTGCCAGGAGTTGATCTAAAGATTTGGCATACAGCAGGGAAAAACCAAACAAATTTGCTTGGAAGACAGATATCAACATAATAAGTAAATTAATTATAAAATATGATATAAAGTGATAAGTGTTGAACAAAAATATAAAAGGAGGAAAGGGGAATTGGAATGTTAAATGCTGAAAATATGGTTTCAATTTCAAATAAGGTGGTTAACACAAGACTCATTAGAAAAATGGCAATTCAATAAAACATTGCTAGGCAGGAATAGGTTATCCATGAGATCTTAGAAAAACCTTCTAGGAAGAGTAAATAGCCTTTGTAAAGGGCACAACTTCCGGTGCTCTGTTCCTGTAGCTAGGGTGATGCTATTTCAGTGTTGCTGGTCTCAAGGTGGCCTCACTATGATCCCTTGTGCTTTCCACCATTTTGTCATCAAGGCTGTATTAAGTCCCATCTGAATGACTATTAAAAATAGTTTCTCTTTTACTGCCAAGAACTGACATGATTGGGTCTTAGAATTCTGCTGTTTGTGAGGCATGAAAGCTAGAATATAAATCCAAATCCAACTATGCTGCTAATGGTGGACATCAAGATATAAACATTATTATATAGTCAAACAAGCGAGATGCTCTCCTAGAGGTCAAGGCAGATTACAAATGAGAATGCTTATCTGACTTAGCATTGTGGTGCTGATGGGTAACTGTGGATGTCCATGACAAGAACAATTCTAGTAGGGCTGAAAAGAAAACAAGAGGAAAAGATATAGTAAAAAAATTGCAAAGACATTGCCATCCGACTCCTATGTTCCTCACATCAGGAGGAGAGTCTAATCTAACTCTGGGATGTGACAGGAGTGACATTCCAGAAGTGACATGGTGTCTGGGACTCTTTAATGTTCACTCTTAGAAATCTCCTTATTAGACCCCAATCATCATGGTGAGAGCTTCAGGTCACACAGAGAGGCCGTGTCCAGGCATTCCAGCTGGCAGTGACAATTGACAGTCATCATCAAATAGCAGTCGTGTGACTGAGAAGATTGTAGCTTCTGACACCATATGAATGCAACTGTGTTTCAGTGCTGGTCTTCAGAGATCAGATTCTGAAGCAGAGGAGGTTCATTAAACAATATGGTCCTTTAGTGATCAAAACATATGCAAAGCAAGGATAGAAAGAGAAGTAGACAAAAAAGCAGTTGAACTGCTGAGCAATTTCATCAGAATCCTCAGCTGAGTGTAAAGGGAGTTCTAAACATGGTATGATCCTTGATAGGTACCCCAAGTTGAACTGAGGGGGCTGGGCATTAAATGTCCATGTTAATCAGGCACTGGATGTGGTCTACCCTTGTAAGGTGAGGCATTTCCTGAGAGCAGCTGATAGCAAGAGTGCTATCTTCCAGCCACTCTCTTACCAAGAGTTAATACACTTTACCCTGAAGCAGAATTTCTAATCAACATTTCAGAATGTGTACTATGAGCTCTCTAGATCCTGAGAGAGCTGCCTAGCTAAGCCAAACAACCCGCAGAATCACAAGTAATTATTTGTTCTGCGAAGTTTGCGACTGCGATAGTCGACAAAAGCAGCTGCAGATAACCAGAAATCAGATCAAGGGCTGAGCGAGTGAGCAGCTCAACATTAGGAGACCAAAAAGAGGAATCAGGGCCAGTTGCAATTCTGAGGACTTACTAGCAAAGGAGGGGACCGGGCAAGTATTCTATGCCAGATTTCAACCTCTAGACCTCCAATCTATCCCTCATCCATCTCTCATTCTAGCCTGTACTAAGTGCTGGTGACTTCTTTAGGCTGCTGTTCCTAGACTCTGCTGTTAGCTTTCCAGATAGCATTACTGTATTAAGGGCAGTGACAGGAAATGTAAAAAAGAGAAAAGGAGAGATCAGAGGCTCTCTCTCTCTCTCTCTCTCCCTCTTTGAAGTAGCATGTGCACCATTGTTTGTGTCTCATGCGTGGCTTCAGCTTCTATCAAACAAGTTCTGCATAGCTCTAGCTTCTGCTGAGCCATCCCCAGCCTACAGTCTGGGCTACGACTTTCTCTCCTCTTTGTTCCTGCAGCAAGAGCGGCACTACTTCACTGCCACTAGTCTCAGGGTTGCCTCATTAGGCTCCATTGTGCCTTGTAGATTTTGTCATCAAGATTCTGCATTAAACCCATCTGAACAAATATTAAGAATGATTTCTCTTTTATTGACTAGATTTCACTTGATTAAGCTCTAGAACTCACATGGAGAATGTAACAAGGAAGAATCAGTAATAAGCTGGGCCAGATGCTGCTGACAGGCCTACTTAGATGAGCATTGAGAAGTGAATATTAGATTTACAAAGTTGAGGTGATACCAGAGTTTTAATGGAATGAAAAACAAGTGAGAGACTGATTAGGCTGTGCCATGACCACTTCCAGGGTTGAAGTAGGGCCAATCCCCCAAGGTACTGACAAAGGGAAGACTGAGTGAGTGGGACACTGGGGTCCTAAGAAGGAACTCGGTAGGTAGAAAGAGTGAAGAATCAAAATCAAAACTTTCTGATGAGTAACTCATTAGATATTGACAGCAGCAGCAGCAGCCACATACTGAGCCATGTCCAGCTCTGTCATTAGTTCCATAACTTAAGCTTCGGATACCATTTGAATGTAAATTTGTCCAAAAGTGAATTCCAAAACAGAAGGCTCATTAAATAGTGCTTTGGGGTCAATTCCTACAGGAGGATAGAGGAGAAAGAGAAGTAGGCAATGGGAGAAGTTGTGCAATGTACTTTCATGACAAGCACATGCCAAAGTGAAGCCACATACAAGAAATTCAGAAACTCTGGGAAGAGCTACATCCCGCACCTTCCATCCCCTTTAATCGTTTGTTTCAGTAGTTCATCAGGTCCCCAGCAGCCAGCATGGTGCAGCATAGCGAAAGTAAAGAGACCTTTCAGGAAGCCCTGGCTGCTGCAGGAGATAAACTTGTAGAATTTGATTTCTCAGCCTCATGGGGTGGGCTTTGTAAAATGATCAAGCCTTTCTTTCATTCCCTGTCTGAAAAATATTCCAACGTGTTGTTCCTTGAAGTAGACATGGATGACTGTCAGGATGATGCTGCAGATTATGAAGTCAAGTCTGTGCAAAAAGTACAGCTTTTTTAAAAAGGGGGAGAAGGTGAGTGAGTTTTATGGCACTAATAAGGAGAAGCTTGAAGCCACCATTAGTGAGTTAGTCTAACTGTGTTTTCTGAAGAACATAACTACAGCTGTTTAAAACTTTTAATTTTTTTAATTTACAAAAAAATAAGTATGGAAACTATATACCAAGCTGTGATCTGATTATAAATGACCATAAAATATTAATTCTACCCTTTAAATAAAAAGAGAAAAGAAACTCTGGGAAAAGCACATAAAAGAATCCTTTAGGGAACAGTTACCTCCTACCTTATTCATTTTGGTTATTAGAGAAATGAATTAGTCGTGTATTCTGAGAAAGTTTATGGGAAGAAATTAGCAGAAACAGATGACATGTGTTCATTTGCAATTCACTTTCTAAAGCAACATTTCTGAGTAGTGATTCCACTTGAGAGAAGCGAGCCCTAAGAAACAGTTCTAAGCAAGGACATGTGATGGCATGAGGCACGCGTCGAGCTGTTCTTTATTCAAGCACCAATGTTGGGAGCCCGTTAGTTGTTTAGGAATAAAAAGACTGCGTAAGTAAGTACTCGGTCAGGGAACTGAAAGGACAGTCCTGAGAGGTTGCATAGCACACACATATACACAAAACATAATGTAATGCTCAGCACTTACAAGAAGGATGCAGCATTTATATAGTGAGCACAATCGCAGCAAGGTAGAAACGCACTACTTAAGTGGTGCACGGATGATGACTTTCCTACTTTGTTGTGCTTTATTTGCTTATCACACATCATATTTTAATTATAGGAAAAAATGAAATTCAGGTGAGAAATTTTGGGTGGTTTGAGACAAATTCTTTGTTCTCTACCGGAGCAATTCTGTAGTTAGTAGCAGAACAGATTTATTTTACTCCAGTAAAGACTACCCTAGCTAATGCCTTAAACGGAGCTCCAATTTTTTTGGTTGTCAGTGATAATCAACAAAACTGTACCTCTACAGATGTGATAGCTAGCTGGGACAAGTTTCTGGAAGCTTAATTTTATAAACAAACATTCATTGTATGTACCCAGAGAAGCTTTACTGCAAGGAAAATAAAAAATATAGATAGTGTATTAAAAGTAACTTTAGGGGCCGATGAGATAGCTTAGTAGACAAAGTGCCTGCTTTGGCAAGCTCAGGGATCAGGATTCGATCACCTGTCCTGCATGCTGCACCAGCCCTGCCCCCAGGGCAAGCTGAGACAGTGACAGAGTTTGGGCATGACCTGTAATCCCAGTACTGGGGAAGCTGAAAACAGGAGGATCACTAGGAGTCTGATCTGTGTAGTGAAATCCTGTAGACTCTGTACTAAATATATATAAATAAATACATACATACATACATACATAAAACTTTAGTATAATTCTCGGTGTCTTAGGAGAATGGACAGAACAAGGGAGATTAAGTCTGAGATGAATTGAAACCTTTCAATTGCATTAGGAGTTCTTTGATTCAGATTTATGAGCTGTCCAAAAATCCCACCTAGAGACAGAATTGTCTTCAAACTATACATTTTGCTGTTTTAAACCTTAAATGGATAGCATAAGCCTTATGCTTCTACATATTGTCCGAAAATGTATGCTAACAAAACGTAAAGCAGCTCCTCAACATTAAACAAAGCTCTGAAGAATGTCATTGTGGACCCGTGCAATAATTCCAATGAGCTGCAACAACAAAGAAATATCTGGGATTTCACTAGACATGAGAAGAATCTAACAATGTTATTTTGCTTCTTTATAAGGTTAACCAAAAATCACCAACCAGTATAACCCACTTGGCTTTGATCATAACAAAAAAACAGGCAGACAAAGAGCCAAGGTCTAGACTCTGGTTCTTCTGACATTCCTCAAATTATTTTAAAAGATGAATAAACAGTGGACATGTTGTCTCGGTAACCCAAGAGATTTCTTATCATATATATATTATATATCCAAAATTTAACATTTTTGTTCTCTGATGGAAAATACACTTTTCCTATTCATAATAGTTCAAACTCCTCTTCATCCACTTACAAATTCACTATGAACCTAATATCTTTAATGATACCTTGGGTCAGAACCAAGGACTTACATAAGACAACGAAAACAGTGTAAAACAGGAGCCAAAAAGCCACAGTTCTGAGATTCACATTCTGCCTTCATCATGTTCTTCTTGGGTAATCCCAGGCAAATTTCTTGACCTCTATGAGGCTCAGGAACTTCATTCACAAAGTCAGAACAAAAGCAGTACCTACCTCAAGGCTAACTGTGGATGTTAACTAAATTAGTTGATACTTACCGAGCACCTTGAATGGCATTTATTATGCTGTGTGTATATAATAAAGTGTTAACTACACTTACAATTAGCAGCTGCTGTGCCAGCTCCAGGAAATTCTTTGGAGATGATTACACCCACCCTTCAAGATAATACAGCAGGACTTACAGTTAATCTTTCCAGTTCATTTAAATGAACATCTGGTCTAGCTTTCATTCCAAACAATATCAGTTGGAATGGCTCAGCCAGACCATGACTAAATAAGGAAAACATTCTCTAATTCTATTGTACTGCTGACCAAAAACATTTTTTTTCTCTCTCTTCTTAGGTCCAGAGACAATATTGAAGCAGGGTAGTAATTCATTTTGCTTTACAGACAAAACATGTTTAAGTTAAATACACAGATTCCAAGTACAAATATCAGGATTAAATATTTTTAAGAGCAGAAACCTCACCATCATGTACCCTGGGAATGTGGGCACTGAATTCTAATCATTCCATGCAATGATTCCTCCCGCATAGAGAAAAGAGATGGAGTCAGTGAGACTCACCTAGCTGTAGGAATCTTACTGCAGTTGCATGTTGCTCTGTAAAGTATAAACCCTTTTCTACAAAATCTTAATGCCCTAGAGATGTCCAAAGTGATGTATATTTTTTGCTCCAGAAGAATTATGGAAATAAAGAGATCTTTCAGATCATCTGTAGCTCAACCAATGCATTGTAGGGAGAAGACAATTTAAGAG